CTTTCCGGACTCCAGATCCTCCTACTGCACCAAACAAAAAGGTGGTTAAAAAGAAGATTGACTTTTAAAAACAATGTGCTTCGATAGGGAATTGATTAGTACATCACTCAACAAAGGAATGCAATCAGCTGTTAGACAAATGAGGCAGACTTCCATGCTAACAGGCAAAGATGATGAAAGCAGGTGACAGAGCAGCATGTCAAGTGTGATCCTGTTAATCTATGCGTGTGCATTACACACACATCCTATATAATAAAAGGCTAATATGCAAATTATCCCCTTAACTGGGAGTTCAACCAGGAGTTCAACCAGGGAGTGGGACTGACAGCCATTGGCCCTTCCCCCTGGTCGAATGGGGGGGGGGGGGGGGGGGGCGACGCTGGCCTGCCAACTATCCACGACCCCTCCCCCAGCTAACCCTGCTCCCAATCAGCCTTCCCACCCCTCCCACCCTACCAACTGCCCAAGCCCCACCCCCCCCCCGCCCAGCCTGATTTGCCCCCATTTGGGTGGGCTGGCCAGACCCCATCAGTGCATGAATTCGTGCACTGGGCTGCAAGGATATTTATACAAGCAAAAGACTATGGAAGCAGACTCTGATCTCTGGGGGAAGTTGGGCTACTAGGAATTTTCAAATCCTGCTTCCTGTTTTTCTGTGCTGTTTCCACTTCATATTGTGTGTGCATTTTATTATAATTGACTAAGGGACCCAGATATTACAACGTGACACTCTTACCCAAGATAGATATATGAGGCCTGGGTAGCCCTGTGCTGGAAGGTCAGGACTCACCTGGGATTTGGGAGAGAAAAATAATTCTCTTTGGTCCACCTTACAGGCTTGCAGCTTGCAGGAAAATTGCAGTTCTCAGCTTCAGCCACCAGGGGGAAGCAGGGGATCAGTCGATCCTTAAAAAAGGAAAGCTGGGAATTTCTGAGCTGGCCAGGATGTGGGGGAGCGGGACCACATTGTTTGATGCCAGTTCCACTGTGGGGCAGGGCTGCGGCAGGCTCCAGGGAGAGGAGACTCAGTTACACACCAGGGGAGGTTCCTTTGCTTCAGCACAAAAGGGAAAGTGAGGCAGAAACCAGAAATGAACTAACAGAGTGTGGGTGCCTGAGGAAGGAAGGGGAATGGCCTACAAGCCAGAGACTAGGCAGACCCAATTCCCCAGGGGAGCAGGGGCCCCTCACTCTGGCCACCTGGTTCCTGGGGGTGACAGGTGGGAGGCAGAGCAGAGGGGAAACTGTGAGAGCCATTTTCGGGGCAGCACAGGCCCAGGTAACTGTCCCCGCCTCTGTGATGGGTGCATTGCTGGCGCGGTCTTGAGCACATCCCAGTGCCAAGCACTTTGCCTCGCTGTTTGTGGTCCTCACGCTGACCCTCACGCAGATGGGCAGCCACATCATTCCCGTTTCCCAGGGAGGGAGTCGAGGCCGGGAGGGGAGGCGGCTGGCTTAGGGGGAGGGTCCATCTGACCCACAGTCCTTGCCAGGATGAGGATGGGGAGGCAGAGGTGGAGGGCACGGCAGGTGCCACGGTCCCGGACACACGAGGCAGGACGTGGACCCCACATTGCCCCACGGGCTGCAGGGCCACTCCAACCTCAAGGGGTGACCGAGGTGGGGGTGTGGGGTGTTGAGAAGGTGTAGAGGAGGGTGCTGCTCGGCTCTCAGTATGGGGCGTGTGGGGTGAGGAGAAAGCCTCTCCACTTCTTAGACCAAGAGGGAGGAGGTGGGAGGGCGGCTGACGTGAATCCGGGCGCTGGAGGCTGTGGGCCGGGTGAGGAGGGCCAGAATGAGCGAGCGCCAGGGGGGAGGTGCAGGTGTCAGGCCCGGTCCCCTGGTTGCAGCGGAGGCAGGAGCACCGGGGTTTGGGGGCTGTGTTGGGGGCCACGTTGAGTTCTTCGTTTCATGCAGGCCTGCAGAACCACCCAGGGCTGGGACTAGTTGGTTCTGGGCTCTGAGCTATAGCAGGAGGCCGGCCGGCCAGGCTGGGCAGGTGTGAGGGCCTGGGGCAGAGTGGAGGGCCGAGGGCAGGCACAGTAGGTGTGTATGAGTGTGTGGCAGGGTAGGGACAGGGGCAGGGGCAGCACAGGGCCTCTATCATCTCTGATAAATAAGGGTTTTGAGGGGTCTTTGTCCCAGGACAGGCTGCTCCCCTATGGTCTCAGCTCCTGCAGGCCCTTCTCCTCCTCCAGACCGGGGGACAGGGCATCTGGGCAGAGGGGCTGATGCCAAGCACTGGGCTGGTCATCGAAGTGCCATAATGTTTGCCCAAGGCCTCCACAGGCTCCCGGGAGCCCCTGGGCGTCTCGTCAGGATCAGGAACAGCACGGAGCTGGGAGCTGGGGTGCAGCAGGGGACCCCAGCTGTCAGTCTTCTGTATCAGGCCTCTCCCAGACCTCCGTTTCTCCACCGGTCACGTTGGCATATTGTTCCGTGCCCTCGCTCCTGCCAGGATTGTTAGGAGGATGCAGGAGAGACTGGGGCTTGTGGGTGGGACCCAGCGCAGAGCCGTAGGGCCACCGGGGCCCAGCCCGGGGAGTGAGGAACTGCAGGGGGGGTGGGTGGGAAGGGAAGCAGCCACACAGAATATCTGGGCGCAGGCGCTGCCTGTAGCCACTGCAGCCGCAGGTGCATCCCAATGGCCCGATGACAGAGAAGGACTCAGGCTCCACATCGCACGTCGGGAAGGGGTGGTGGCAGGAACCTGGCCTGGGGCCCCGGAGGGGCCCGCTCCTGCTGTTCTGGTGCTGAGGAGCGAGGGGGGTGAGCCTGGTGCCCTCCCCACAGGCCTGGGCCCCGCATGGCCGCCTTCCCTGTGTCTGGAGCAGGCGCCAGGGCCCCTTATACCATGGCCTTCGTGGGTTGGAGCTGCCTGTCCGTCCAGTGTCCCTCAGCCGGGGCCTTCCTTCCTCACCTCACCTTTGCACCCCTGGGAGCAGGGGCTGCCTGGGCCCCACCCAGGTCTGCCTCGGAGGCTGCACTGAGTGAGAACTGGGGTTCGGATCCAAGCTCGGTCCCTGCCCACTGGGTGCCCTCCTAGCCCTTACTCACTGGGGGCCTCAGCTTCGGTCCAGACAGAAATACGGGGTGGGTGTCAGTTTCGGAGGAAGGTGGGCCGTCCTCTCTGGGTGCCCTGACACCCCTTTCTGCGGCAGACTCTGCTCTCTCCCAGCCCTCGGCGGCTGGCAGCCTCTGGACGTGGACATGAAGTCCAACCGGAAACCCTTCCTGTCCAGGGGAATTACTGGTTTCCACGGCTCTGGGAGATGTCGAAATGCAGACTGTGTTTGCCTTGGGTTTGTTTTGTTTTTTTCCATGGCAAACAAAACAAGCACAGGGGCGCCTGCACACTGACACGCAAGGGCAGACGCGCGAGTGTGAACCTGGGGCCTCAGCCCAGCACACAGTGGGCACTCGGCGAACCTGGCACACAGTGGGTGCTCCCTGAACCCAGGGGCCCCGGGTTGGAGGCCCACTCCCGCTCTGACTTCCTGTGTGACCTCTGGCAAGGCTTCTGCCCGAGCCACAAGCAGTGGGAGCAGCAGACCCACTAGCGTTGGCTCCCGGTGCCAGGTGTGCACCACGCCCTGTGTGCCCTGCCATCTTATCTGCACACTAACCCAGGGGCTCGGAGAGGCGAGGACCTGCCACCTCTCACAGCCGGGGCAGGTCCTGGGAGGACAGGGCGCACGGAGCAGACCCATGCTCTGTCCTCAGCCTGTCCCTGGAGGGCAGCCCTTCCTGGCCCCTGGCCGTGTCTGTGGAGCAGCAGGGGCAGGTGGTTATCCTCTCCCCTCCCACTCAGTGGGCAGAGGCCCCACACCGCTCACGGCTGGGCCAGCTGAGGCCACCTGCCCTCAGACCTGGCCCAGCGCCTGCACACGCCTGAGGGAAGGCCACAGAAGCTGTGCTCCCTGTGTGCCCATAAGCAGAAAAGGGCCGGTGGCTTCCAGACTCATTGTGCGTCCCAAGGGAGACAGGGGTCCTGCTTCTGGAGTGTGTGTGTGGGGTCTCTGTTCATGCCTGTGCCCCCTCCCCCACCCCAAGAACTCACATGCTGTTTCTCTGCCCCATCTCCGAGGCTGAACTCAGGAGCTGGCCCGCAGACACGCTGTGATCTGTACACGAGGTAAAAACTAGCTGCCAAAACTAAAACGGAAAATCTCACATAAGAACCTGCGTTTCCAGCCTCCCTCCCCCGACACACACAACCCGGGCAGCACATTCCCGGCACCACTGGCCGGAACCAAGGATGCAGTGCCCCCCCCTCACCCGTGAGGCTGCCCTGCCCACCCGCCTCCACACCCATGTCACTGTCACCCCCACAGGCCCACGAGGGACCACTGCAGAGTCCGGTACTTCTCGGCCTTGCCCATCGGACTGACCGGGGGCTTTAAGAACCAGAGGACATGTCCAGGCGGACATCGCGAGGGTCTCGGGTGAGGACGAGACCCCGTAGGTGCTCCTGTGAGCAGCAAGGTTGGGGATGCAGGTCGCTTTGCGTGGCTCCCTCTCTGTGGCCCCAGCAACAACCCAGCCCCTCGGGGACTTGCTCAGAAGAGAGACCCTCTGCTCCTTTGCCTGGCGCCCCAGGAGGCCAGGACACTGTGCTTTGCTGACTGTGATGCCCAAACCCCAGCCCTGGCACGAGGGCCAAGTGTGAGCAGGGGCGGCAGGGCCAAGGGCGGCCCGGCTCTGCTCCGAGGAAGATTCACTCCTATATATGGTCACCGGGAGCCCCATCGCGAGCTAACGTGTGACCTAATGTGCTGACAATCTCGCCCGCCTCGGGGAGGGCTTTCGGCCTGGAGAGTGTCCGCCTGGGGCAGAGGGGCCGGGAGGAGGCAGTCGGCGGGGCGGAGGGAGGCAGGGCACGGACAGTTGACCCAGGCCCCGGGGAGCAAGTCCCTCCCTCCCGCTCCGCCCAGAGTCTGCGAAGGCGCCCAGCTCCCCACCGATGCTCTGTGCAGACAAGGAAAGCCAGGAGCCACTCCGGCCTTTCAAGTCCTTTAATACCGCGGGAAAAGACTATACTTCTAAGGGCACGTCGCATACAGGTTCTCCAGGAATAAGGCACACAACGGAATGCCATCCCGAGGGCGCCCCTCGGAGAGGTCGGGAGCCTTGCCGTGCTCTCCGGGCGGGGCCCACGGGCCATTTGTCTCTTTAGCTGGACACACACGCATGAATGGATACAGACACGGACAGGCCGCCCCAGGGGAGCGGAGGAGGTGAGCGTGCGGCTGGCGGCGGACAGCAGCCAGTGTGCTGCCCCCGGCCCCGGCGACACCTCCCCCGCCATGCCAGGGCTGCTGTTGGGCTGGGCTACAATGTAGTGATGTCGGTTAAATACTCGTTTAGAATAGATTCAAGTCTACTAGACGTTAGAGGGCAAGTGAGGGCTCTGGTTGGCAAATCCAAGTTCAAAGAGCCCGGGGCCCCGAGGCATGGCTCAGATGGCCACCCAGAGGGTGTGAAGGCTGCCTCTCTTCCTCTCGCCCTCCTGGGGCCCCGCTGGCCGGGCCCTTCCTCAGGCCAAGGCCACGGGGCTGGCCACAGGGGGCTGGTTAGTCCCACGTCCGTTTCTCCCCCGGCCCACCTCCTCACCCCCGACTAAACTAATAACCATAATAACGAGAGAATAATAAGAAGGCGCGAGGGGAAGGGTTACAATGCTGTTTGTTATCCTCAGCTGAGGAGGCTCAAAGGGGTTCCATCCCCTTTCACTAAAGACCTAAGAACAGCTTCCCTTACAAGGCAATACTTTCCAGATACACACATGTATAAATACAGGACAGACACAGACCAATGCGTCTAAGCACTTGGGTAATATGCTGGCTACTTAATACTGATATTTTCATCCAAGGAAAAAAAAACAAACAAAACAGAAGAGCAACAATATGGCTTAAAGAATTGCAAAGATTTTTGTTCTGTTTTTCCTCGTCAGAATTATGTACCAACTTCATATAATATTCTATGGAGACAATATTTCCTTCTTAATGTAGTTCGGTTGCATACTTTTTACAGACCAAAGAATAGTAAAAAAAAAAAAATCAAAAGAAAAACAAAACCAAACCCAGGAGAAAAACGTTCTCACCATAAATATTTTTCTCGCACCTCAACAAGGTTTGCAAAATACTTCCAGACATTTTGTTTGATATTCTATTGCCCTCCCGAAAGCTCCGAAGCTTTGAAAATGCCTCTCTTTGTTTGTGTTTAATGTCAAAAATCAAACAATTATTTTTTTTCTTTTCTTTTCTTTTTTCTTTTTCTTTTTTTTAAAAAAAGGCCTTCCAATATATACAGACAAAAACCACTGTGAGGATTTTTCTCAGGAGAAGGTAAGAAATTCAGTGTTGTGAGAATGATTGGTAACTAGGCAGAAATTTTAACATCTATGATTTTTTTTCCTCAAAATACACAAATAGTATTTGTCTTTTTTAAAAAAAGGAATTCTGTGTCAAGTATAACTCAAAATAAATACAAATGCACAAGTAGAACTACTGAATACTTCCACGGGGTAAACACTGTGATCTCCCAGCTACATTTCTAGACCTACTCACTACAAGCGATTGTCCCTTTCGAACGTCCTCAGCCACACACTGCCCGTCCCCAGGGCTCCGGGCCTCTGAGCACGTCATTCCCACGGCAGCCAGCCTGGGCACCAGAGGCTTTTGCTGACCCCGGAGAGCTCCCAAGTCTGGCCAGAACAATAAAGAGGGCCCAGCCCTCCATGGCCAGCCGGGCACAAATGGCAGGGGCAATGGCTGCCAGCCGGACAAGCCCACTGGGAAGGTCGCTGTGGGATGATAGCCCATCTCCTGTTGGCCCGTGGGGGGCCCTGGCCTCCGGAAGCCTGGAGTCCCGGCTCTTTTAGGGTTCGGGCTTCTCCCACCTCTGCAGCGGGTTTGGCAGGGCCCAGCATCCTGGGACCAAGGTCCCACGGTGGGGCCAGGTCCCTGGCAGAGCTGGGGCCCGGTGCTGGCAGGTGGAGCATTATCTCTGGCTGCGCACCAGGATGACTGGCAGAGACAGCTTCTCCTCGGGGCACAGTGCCTCCCGCCAGGGCGACTCCGCTCGCTCTGACCCGGGGAGACAGCGGGAAACAGCTGGGCGAGGACTCCCTGTGGGCGGGGAGGGGGGTCCCAGCCACGGCCAGGCGTGGCTGCTGTGGGTGGGAGGGAGGCAGCCTTGGGGCTCAGGTTGGAGCAAATATCCCCCTTTTAAGTGCTCAGAGGCCGTGACCCCCTGAAATCTACTCTGCGGCGCCCCCTGGCTTCAAACACACGCACTCCATCTTCTCGACTTGCTCCCTGGACCCCTGGCTAACGTGACTGTGACTCCTCAGCTGTACAAACACTTTCATTTGAAAACAAAGGCACCGGACCCCGGCTGGGCGTCCCTGAGCCGCGGTAAACACTGGGTTGCAGGCCCATTTCGTGGTCTGACTTCTTCCCACAGAGGCATCATGTTGGGGCAAAAGTGACTGGGTCCTGACAACTAGCTTTCTCCCGCCCCCGGGAGAAAGGAAGGACGCACGACAATCAACACAGTCTCCTCCCTGAAGAGGGGGTCCTCCAGCTCCCCGGGAGGAGAGGCTCTGCAGGGTGCCTTGGGCTGCCCCGTGCGAGGGGGAAGGGGACTTTCTCCTTCCCTTTGGCAGGGGGAGGGACAACAGGCAGGGAAGGGGCTGGCATCCATCAGCTTGACCTCAGTGATGGACTGGTGGGGGGTGGTGAGAGTGCAGGACTTGGTGACACCCTCCAAATTCAGTCCTGTGCCCAGGAGGCGCCCCCGGCTGCTCCCCCCCTTACTAGTGTTATTCACTGAACTAAAGGGTAAACTGAGGCCCGAGATGCAATGTCCTCCCCAAGTTCCAACCCCAGTCAGCGGCCGGGCCAGCACTTGAACAAAGATCTCTGGCTTGCCAGACCCATGCCCTTCCTGCCACACAGGGCCCTACGGCCTCCATCGGGGATGGGCCGAGGGTGGGAGGTGGAGGAGAAGGGGAGGGAATGGCTGACAAATGCCAGCACATGGGGAAAATGTGTGTGTGGGGGAGGGGGTAGCGATGCCTGGTGTGCCCCAGGCCACGCCTTGGGACTCTGTCCGACATTCAGGCCCCCCCCACCACCTCTGACCTCTGGGTCTCTGGGGAGGGGGCAATGCCGAACCCCTGGGTCTTCGGGAAGGGGGTGTAACATCAGTGACGGCAGAGGAAGTCCAGTTTGGGGCTCAAAGTGGGCCAGGGGCAGAGAGGCCCACTGCCAGCAGCTGCTGGCACAGGTGTCAGCTCGCCACGACTGCGGACCTGAACGGGACGCAGACACGGGCTCTCTGAGGGCGCTCTGTGTACGGGCAGCCGGGAAGGCCCCCGGGGGGGAGGAGGGAGCGAGCAGGCGCCGGCTGGTCTTGGGGAGACAACCCCGCAGGCTTTGGGATTCACAGTAAATTTAGTGCACTTGTGGCCAATGCAAGGCTGCTCACCAAAGGGGTCTCAGCGGAGCAGAGCCTGCAGGGGACCCCGAGGGCTCTGTGGGTTCTGTGCATCGGCCCCCTGCTCGCCCCCGGTCCCCCCCAGACTCAGCCCACCTGGAGAGTCCCAGAGACCTCACCTCCTGCGGGGCAGCTATGTCAGTAACACTGTTTGTCAGCACACATGAGACAAGAACCTAAGACCCCCCTGCCCAGACCCACACGCGTGTGAGGACTCCCACACACACGGGGACACACAGCCACGCGGACGGACACGGGCGGGCTTCTCCGGTGGGGGCGGCAGGCCGGTCATTGCACTCGGCGGCAGTAGTAGCCCAGCACCTTGCACTTCTCGCACAGGTGCTGCGGGTGCTCCTTGCTCTGGTCGGACACGTCCAGGCCGTCAGGCTTCTCCAGGGGCCTCTGCGGAGAGGAAGTGGGAAGAGGGCTCAAGGTGGGGAGACCAAGGGGCAGCGAGAAACACAGAAACACAGAGCGAAGCAGGAGAGAGAGAGAGGGAGGGAGAGGGGGGAGGAAGGAAGAGGCAGGAGGAGTGAGACATACACAGAGGGAGCCCAGAGGGAGTGTGCGTGGCCACAGAGATTGCTTCCCAAGGCACCAGGGCCCTTCCTGCCTCTCGCTGTCCCCAGAGGTTCGGGCAGGGGCCTTGGGCTGGGGCCAGGGCAGCGGGACAGGGTCCAGAGCCCGGATCCGGACACCCTTTCCCACTCCCCAGTCCTCTCTGAGCAGCCACCGTAGGAAGCTCACAGGGCTAGAGGCAAGACAGGTGCACAGACATTACCCGGACAAGGAAACGAAGGGAGATCCCAGCCCAAGCCTCCGGACCCCGCGCCCAGCGCTTCCTCCCTGGCTGCTGTCACCCCGTGCCTCCGCGCGCGGCCTCGGGACTCAAGCGGAGTTTAACCTGGTCACGGTCGCAAACTCTTCGGGTTCCAGGGAACGAGCCCTCAGTTCTGTGAGGGGTCGGCAGCTGGTGCACTGGATCCCCCACTTCCCAGGGCCAGGCACCCCCTCTGCCACGTTTGTTGAGTGGCCACATAAGCGGAACCTCCTTGTTTCCTAATAGGGAAACCCGAGGCCCAGGGCAGGGGGCGGACGTGACAGGCCTATGATGCTGCTCACTCCCTGTGTGACCTCAGGGAGCCTCAGTTTCCATGTCTGTAAAATGGGCCATCATCGCACCTCGTTTGCAGGGCACTGGGAGGATTCGGAAGCCTTGGGGTTTGTAAACCGAGCAGAGCAGGCACCTTTCTGTTACCAGGGGCATCTCCCTGCTACCCCTCCCACCCTCCACCTCCTGCCCCCGCCCCCCACCCCCGGCCTCACAACCAGCCAAGCCTCATCTCCTTGCAAGGTTTATGGATGCTATTAGGTGCGCCTCCCGAACAGTTTCTTGGCACAGCCCTGACCCAGAACCCTGCCTGCAGAGGGGTCTCCTGCCCGGATTTGGGGGGACTCAGAGGAAGCTGGCCAGGGCCAGCTGGGAGCCCCATGCTGAGGGTGGGGTAGGAGCTACAGGCAGGTGGTAGGGCAGGGAGTCTTAGCACCATTAACCATGACCCAGGACGGTCCTGGGAGGACAGAAAAGGTGATTGCTGGCCCCCCTGCTAGACCGCCAGCCACTCAAAAGTAGAATACCGCCTTTTCTGCCCAAGGACGCAGCCCCTGGCCCCGAGGCGGCACTCAGAGCCAACCATTCGGGGATGGAGCAGCAGGGGCTTCGGGAGATGCGTAGGGACAGGGTGGGCAGGGTTAGGGTCCAGGGGCAGGAAGCCCATCCCTGTGCTTCCAGGCCTGGAGCCACACGGACGGATTGGGAAAGGACGGGAGCACTGACCTCACGCACGGGGCTTACTGGCGACAGACCGGCGTTCCCGGCCAGAGAGGATCTGTCCCCAGGGCACCGGAGTGGAACACCGGCTCTGCCGCCCTCGAGCCCAGTGACCTTGGGCAGGCCACCGACCTCCCTCCGACCCTCCATTCCCCATCGGTGAAAGGAGATGTTACAACACGTTTCTCATGAGATTGCTGTCCCAACTCAATGAAGACCAGGAATAAAACGAGATGGCATACAGACACTGTGAATGCTGCCGCTGCCACCAATGATGGTGATGATGATGATGATGATGAAGAAGGAAGAGGGACACCAGCTGGTAAAGTCAACACAAGTTGAAGCCAGGATGCCAACTGAAGGGCCCAGGCCGGTCACATCCCCTGTCCTCGCAGACGTCTCCCCAAACACCTACATCTCCATGGCCAGTATTAATATCATATATTAATTATTACTATTAGGGCTATGGAGGGCTGGGAACAGGCTGGGAACAAGGGAGCCAGCTACGTCCCGAACCACCCCCTGCAGCATCCTCTGCCTCCCCCTCGCTGTGATCCTATGGGTGCCCTGCCCCCCTCTGCTGCTCCCCCTCCACGGTCCTGGCTCAGCCCATCTGTGTGAAGGAGCAGGGAAGCTGTCAAGACGACTCCCCTCCACCCTCCACGGAGGGAAACACTCCGCAGCTGGGACTAATCGCCCGGGCCAGCCCCACCCCTGCAGCGAGGCAAAGCCCAGTGTTCTCTTCCGTGGGGGCAGGGTGGGAGGGGGCTCCGCTGGAGCCTGACAGAAAGCAGATGTGGCCGGGAGGAAGCAGCGGGGAGGAGGGTTCTCAGGAGACACTGCCCCCGCGGTCAGAGCTCAGGGGGCAGGAGAAATAAAGCAGCCCCTCCACCACTCTCCCCACCACTGGGACCAGGCGTGGGACGCCAACCCCTACCCTCTCCGCTCTTCAAAAGCTCCTGACACCCCCTCCCCCTCTGCCCGGGCTGCAGCCTCCCCGCGGGAGGAGACCCCTGAGATAGGGACTGGGCTGGGCGGGGACCGGGGCCTGGTCCCGGGCCCCCCGGTGCTGGCTGGCTAAGTGACCGAGCTCACGTTCCGGACCGGTCTGGGCCTCAGTCTCCCTGCTGCACACAGCGAGTGCTCAACAGACAGGGGCCGGATGACTGGGGGAGGGTTTGGGGACAGGAAAGCAGGCCACACGCTCTTGGAAGGTCATTCCAGGTTGTGCCAGGGACTCTGATCTGGGCATGGAGACGGGGAAGGGGTCAGAGAGGCTGTGCTCGGACTGAGCTTGGCAGGAGAGAAACGAGGAAGCTGACGAGGCATTGCCGGCCCGGGGAAGGTGGCACCAGCCAGGATGGGCCTGGCATGGAGGAAGGGCTGCTGGGCAATGCAGGGGCAGGGCCCAGGAGGCTGGAGCCACTGCAGGAAGTTGGGTCCCACCCGCCTTGGGGCATCATCGGTCATGCCTCACTGCTTAGGTCACAGGACAACCCCCAGCACAGACCCTCGCCCCTGCCCACCTGAGTCCCTGCAGGAACTGGCCCATTCCGGCTCCCCAGCCCGCCAGCCACGTGATCTGTCCTCCGGGGCCCCCTCATCCCCACCCAGGATAGTCATCTGCCACCGGCAGCCCCGGACTTTCTCCCTCTTTCCTACTAACCTGGGGTAAGTCGCATACACCCCTTGCCTCATTTTGCTCCTCTGCAGTTTGGGGAAATAAGAGTGCAGTTCCATAGACCGCTCTGGACCCATGTGCCTTCCCTGCCTGCGAAATCGGATGAACAGAACCCGGGCGGAGGGCAGGGCACTGATGGAGGGCATGCGGGGGCCTGGCACATGGTACCCGGGTGGCCCACCCTCGATTCTGAGTGCCAGTGGCCAGCCCTGTCTGACTGTTCTGTTCGCTGGAGAGGAAGCTCCTGGAACGCCCGGCACCCCCGACCTTCACCTCCTTTCAGCGCCTGCACAGACCTGGCGCTGAGGGCCCAGAGCCCTCCCAATAGCACGGCCACGCCCAGGGGCCTCTGACTGCCACAAGGGGGCATGTTTGTGCCCTGGGCCCAGGCCTTGTCAGGAGGCACCAGGAGAGCTCAGGAGCCAGGATGGTCTCCTCCAGCTGCCCGCCCCACCCGGGCCCTGACATGCTCCCCAGACACTGTGTGCCCTGTGCCCGCCTCCCCTGGTCTCGGGGGCCTGGGCCTCTCCCCCAGCGCCCTCAGCATGTGGGCCTGCCCCTCGGCCACGGCCAGTTTCCAGTCTGCCCGCCTGGGTGTGACTGTGGGTGATGGGACCATGGAAACCTTTGGGGAAGGGGTGGGAAAGATGGTGAGCCTGCAAACAGGAAATGGAAGCCAGCACGAGGGTCACACAGTCACAGAGCGTTTGGACCACGAGCACCCTCTCCTCCTCCTTCTGGTAAGATGGGGCCAAGTTCTCTCCAGCGGCCGGGCAGCCCCGCCCTCCACTCTCTGCTCTCTGCTCCCCCAGCTCGTCCCACGCTCTGTGCCAGCCCTGTCCCCTACTTGCACATGCTGCCCCTCCCCAGCAATGCCCGTGTCCCCCCCCCCCCCCCCCAGCCAGCTCAGAGTACACAACCCTCCACTCCCCGTCTGAGCTCAGTCTGACATCACCGCCTCAGGGGGGCCTCTGCACCCCTCTGCCTCCCTTTCCCTCAGGCCCCTCCGCCTCCTGCTGCCCTCCCATCCCTCTGTCTCACAGCAGCAACCAAGTTCATCACTTCCCCAATGCACCAGGCTGCAGCCTCAGGGCCTCGGTGCTTTGCCCCTTATCCTCCACCCCTTCCCCCTTCCCCGGGCAGCGGCCCTCTCTCACCCTGTCTCAGAGGAGACAGGAAAGAAAACTCTCTTGGAGGGGTCTGGTCTCATCCTTGCCATAGGAAGGCTAATGAGAGACAGAGTCACCCTTCCTCAGCCCTTCAGAGACCCGAGCCCCCTGCCTGCCTCCCGCACCCCCGCCTGCCGGACCGCTCACCTGCTTGTGCGGGTACACGTTGATGTGGCACTTGATGCACTCCTGCCCCATGTTGGCCCAGGAGTTCCCGCTCATCCATTTTCGCTTGCACTTGGGGCACTTGTACTCGCCGAAGCAGCGCTTCTTGCCCTGGTATGGGGTCAGACCCTCGCCTTTGGGGCGTGCCTGGAAGACAGGAAGCAGACGTAGGGGTTGGGGTCCACCTGGCCAAAATGCTGCCCCCCTGAAGTCCCCCTCTTCAGCTCTCATACCCCATGTCTCCGTGTGCAAGCACTCTGTCCCCAGTCCAGAGAACACCAGGGTCACCCCAGAGCACACACGAGGACCTGAGGCTGGGAGGCAGAGGACAGAGGCGGTGGGGTGGGGTGCGGGTGACGTCTTTTTTAGTCAAGGGCACAGAGTCCTCAGTGGAACCAGGAGTCACCTCCTCAGCTCAGCGGTCATAGAGGCGCGTGAGCCTGTGCACAGGTGCTCGTGGCCCTGTGTGTGGTATGAGGGTTACTGAGGAGGCACCCCCCAGCTTCACACAGAGTGCCTCACCCCTGCTTCCCACCACCCTCTCCCCTCCCTGGAGGCACATGGCCCTGAAGATACACTCCGCGTTTACGAACACCTGCAACCTATGTGCACACATGCTTTCTGCCCTCGCTCGTTTAAAGACGTTATACTGGTTCTGCATCTTTCTCTTTTTTACTTAATGTATCATGGACATATTATTGTAAGATACATACAGGGTGTCCCCAAAAATGTATACGCACGTAACAGGGGACAGCTTTGTTGATTTTTCTTTCTTTCCACATGTGACCCATTGGGATGACTAATTATTCAAAGTGTGTATACCTTTTGGGGGTCACCCTATGTCTAATCAAGTATCCTTTTCCCTCAGGAGGACAAACAGAGCTACTGTCTTCGAACACTTGCAGTTCCAGTACAGCCACAGAACATCTGGGTGTCTCTACTCTTCCGCTATTACAAACGATGCTCCAGTGAATAACGTGTATGTGTGTGCATGTGTGTGTGCGCGTGTGTGTAGAAAGAGAGACAACATTTGTGGAATACATTCCTAGAAATAGAAGTGGACATGCACTTTTAAGTTTTAAAGATAACGACAAACCACCAGTGCCTTCCCCTGGGTGTCCCGGCTTAACCTCCTCACCAGCATCCTCATCACTGCCGTCCCAAGAGGCCATCTTCTGAGAGTAGCTTTGACTCGTGTGTCTTCTATTGGGAGCTTTCCCCATGCATTTAAGAACCGTCTGCAAACTGTTAGTCTGAATCCTTCGTAAACCTCTTTCCCTGCTGGGGTTTGGTCATTTTCTTGGTCTGTAACTGCACTTTATATATTAAGGAAACTAGCTTTTTCTTACATGGAATTTTTAAAAATAGCTTGATTGAGCCATGACTCTACATCTTACTTATTTAAGGTGTACAAGTCAACGTTTTGCAGTATAGTCACAGTTATACAACCATCACTACAATCTAATTTTAGAACATTTTATCACCCCCAAAAGAAATCCACCTCCTCACCACTCAGGCCTAGGCAACCCCTAATCTACTCTCTGACTCTAAAAAGCTCCCTATTCTAAATATGTCATGTAAGTGGGATCATACAATAATCGCCCTTTTGTGTCTGACTTCCTTTACTTAGTGTAATGATTTTAAGGTTCATCTATATTGTGGCATGTGTCAGTACTTCATTCACTTTGTTACTGGAAAATAGTCCATTGTGTGGGCATGCCATGCTTTATGTGCACTCATTCATCAGAGGATAGACATTGAGTTGCTTCCAATTCTCTGCTGTTAGGAGTAATGCTGCTGTGAGCACTCATGTATGAAGCTGTCTAGTGCTTATAAAGTTGAATTCATTGCCCCAATACTTAAAAGTAAGAGATTTCACACAGAAAGATGGCCCATTGGTCTGGAATGATATGGCATCCATCAGCTGAAGTTGCGAAGTGGCCACCCCACCAGACCGAGGCCACCGGCACCGTGTCACCTAATGGCACGTGCAGGCTCAGAGTCGGAGACAGGCTCGCCCACAGGCTCTGCACTGTGACCACACCCGTCGCCTGTCCCTCCTGGGCTGGTCTGAGCAGCACCCCGGGAGCCCATTAGAATCGCAAAATCACAGGCCCCGCCTCAGATCCACTGACTCGGAATCTGCACACAACCAGATTGAACCAGAGGCCCGGGGGTTCACATGCCGTAGAGTTTAAGAAGCATTGGGCTATGAGATGATCTGTTTCCACAGTAACGTTTACCTGGGAAACTGCCTGTTTATGAGGTTGTGCACCAAGGTCCAGAGCACAGACTCTGATCCAAATCCAGCTCCGTGGTCAATAGCAGGTTACTTCACATAAGAGTGGTCTCAGGATTAAATGAGATAATACACGTAAAACACTGAAAACTGTGCAAACCATCGACCTCTGAGTGCCTCGGCTTCTTCGTATGGAAACCCAGGGGATGATGAGGGAAGGCCTGCCAGTGGATGGATGGTTGGCTGGATGGATGGATGGATGGATGGATGGATGATGAGGGAAGGCCTGCCGCTCGGGCTGCTGGAAGAATGGCTGCTCCCGTGCACATGGACGCCTTAGCTCGGTGGGTGAGCACAGCAAGTGCTCTGTCCCATCGGCGATTTAGTGTGATTCTCTCCTGGGCCTATCCAGGGAGAGGGAGCAGGCTCGGCCCAGGAGAAGGGAGGCTAGAGCTGAGGCCAACGGGTGAAAAAAAATAAGAGGAAAGTTCCCAGGATGGGGGGAGGCCCGGGTAGAGGTGGGCTTGCTCCCCTGGGTCGTGGGAAAAGGGAAAAGGAGCAGCATTAGGTGCCTTCCCCTCCTGGAATTCTCAGGCAGGCACCCAGGCTGCGGAGGCTGCGGAAGTTCTGCAGACTGGGCTGCCGCCGGAGGAGGGCAGAGGGAGGGCAAAGAGAGCAGATATTTACGAAGCACTGTGTGTGCTGCATCCTGCAAGCCCCATTCACCTCTCCCCATAACCCTGTGGGCAGGGAATATCACCAACCCATTTACCAGATGGTGAAACTGAGGCCCAGGGAAGGAACAAGACTTGCCAAGGAGTTTTCCAGTGCGAGGAGCAGGAGGCGAGGCCCCGTCTTGGCTCCCCTTTTCCGTCACCCCCAAGTGTGTCCCCATTATGAAGCTGGGGCCTGTGCTCGGGAGGAGAAAGCCTCCAGGCCCCGCCGCCCCCGTCCCCCCACCCCCCCCCAGCCAGTGGCTCTGTCCTCCTGCAGGCCAGAGGAGAGACGTGGCCTGGTGAACAGGGGGATGGAGGTGAGCAGCTGCTTTCCGGAAGGGCTCGGTCCCAACGTGGCTTAGCCTACAGATGAGATGGGGCCTTGGGGAGCAGAACTTTCTGACAGAACACAGGCTTCTCTACCCCCCACACGGTCCTGCTGCTCCGTCTCAGAACGGCCTCTTCTCATAAACTTCGCATGAAACAGCCGGTTCTGCCGACGGCTCTGCAGGGGCCGCCGCCGCCTCAGCCGGGAAGGGTGCCAGGCCCAACCAGGCTCTCCTGACCCGGGCCCCTGCCACGTCCCCTCCGGGGAATCAGATCTGCCAGGAGCCTGGGCAAAGCTCTCTGGGGCTCAGAAACCACCGCGTCAGGCACAGACAGGCCCTCTGGAGATCAGAGGATCAAGGGGCTTGCTCACGGGCACACAGCAAACCAGGGACCGAGCTGGGAGGAGGGACTGGCCCCCCCTGGCCTCCGAAGCTGGGGCAGAATGGCTGTGGGGATGGGGGGGGGGGGGCGGGCGTGGGAAGTCGGCCCTGGCGGCCTGCCTGGGAGCAGGAGGAGCAGTGAAAGCGGGGCTGCGTTGGGGGTGGGAGAGCCGTCCAGGCGGCCAGCGTCTTGGGAAGAGACGCAGATGATTGATGCTGATACTATCTGGACGCTTCTTCAGTTTTCTTTTCACCAACTCATGAGATTTCCAGCCATTGGCCATAAGATGGTGCATTCCCCGTCACTGGGGATCGGTAAGCAGAAGCTGGGTGAACAACTAACTACCAGGACAGTTTCCCCGGGGCCTTAGGACCTGGTCAGGCAGTGGGACCGAGTCACATTGAGGGCATTTCCAACTCTCTAGTCCTTCCGCTCTTGTTGCTGATGAAGGGCCACGAGGCAGGTGTGAGAGGGGTACTGGGCTGAGGGCTGAACAGGTATGTTTCCTACTGTATTTCCATCATGCAACTTGGAAGAAGCCTTCAAATGTAAAAAAAAAAAAAAAAAAAAAAAAGTCCAGCCCTTCCCCTCACAAATCCAGTCCTGATCAATCTTCCTAACCGTGACTGGAGCTGTGGACCAGAGTCCTGCTCTGAGCTGTTCACCGCGGCCTTGTTAGGACAGTGTGACACTGGAACAAGCTAAGCGTCCAACAGGATGCTCTGCTTCCCCGCCCGATGTCACACCCATTGGATGAGTGACAACAGAGCCATTAAAATACGTATGAGGATTCTTTAAGGGTTTGGGGAAACGCTCACAAAGAAAGCAGGGTAAGTGATCCAATGTCGGCTGCTTTCAGAGTGAAACTGGGAAAAGGAAAACGAGGCCAGGAATGGGCTGGAGGGAAATCAGCCAGAAGGGCTCCGAGGCTGCCTCCAGAGTCTGCATGCTCTGCTCTAATTAATGAACGGTCTTAACCAGCAGGTACCAGCACACCTTTGACAAAGGTAGTCAGTCAGCAGGCTCCCTGGCCTGCAGGCTCCGCCTGTCCACAAGGGGGCGCCCTGCACATTCCCAACAGAGATGGTGGCTCTCCCGATTTGCCCCTGCGGGCGTGGACCCTGGGGCCTGGGTTCAGGGCATTGGTGACCTCTGGCTACTAGTTCCGTTGGACTCTGCTTGGGTCCAAAGAGCTGTCCTCCTGCCATCCATGGAGTGCCGCCTGCTCCCTGGATTTGAGGACAGCCAGATAAGTATCCATACTGGCCACAGGACACAGAGCCCAGCTGGTTCCTGCCCATTAGCATCCCTGCCCTGCTTCCCAAAGTCCCACCAGGAGGGAGCCAGTCTTTAGAGGGAGCCCCTTTTGTGGGGAGAGACAGTCAGCTTGGCAGCTTGAGGCCAAGCACCCCAGGGAGCCTGGGCTCGGGAGGTGACAGCACCTGGGGTGCTGAAGACCTCTGGCGACGCCGTGCACAGCA